AAAAAAAAAAAAAAAAAAAAAAAAAACATGGCAGGTAAGTGCAATCAGTATAAATCATAGTTTCCTGGCTACAAAAACTACATATTCTTTGGATTAAAAGCAAACAGGTGGCTTGGCTTTTATGTCCAACCCAGAAATCATCTATAGAAGTAAAAAGTGTATAGTCCAGGAACAGTGGCTCCCACGCCTGTAATCCCAGCACTAAGGGAAGCCGAGGTGAGCAGATCATCTGAGGTCAGGAGTTCAAGACCAGCCTGGCCAACATGGTGAAACCCTATCTCTTACTAGAAATACAAAAATTAGCTGGTGTGGTGGTATGCGCCTGTAATCCCAGCTATTAGGGAGGCTGAGGCAGGAAAATTGTTCCAAATAAAAAAAGTAGAAGTAAAAAGTGTGGATACTGTTATACCACATGTGATACTAAAATATTCAAGGCCACAGATGGAAGTCACCAGCTTACAAAGAGAATACTGAGAGGTAGTAGGATACATAAAAAAATAGAGAAATGCAATAAAGGAAATGCCACCTCTGTTTAAATCAGAAAAGAGTAAATGCATAGGCATTAAAACGGCAGCTCTACATACTACACTGCATTTCTCTTTGTCAGGAAGAATTCATTGTGTATGATTACAAAGGTCAGTGAATAAGATGAGGCAATAAATGTAGGGCCTTGGTATCAGGGCAAATTTCATTTCCTTTTCATTTTACACATGAGGGAAAAAAGGAGCATAGAACCAGAAATGGTCATCTTTCCATTCACTACACTAACTTTTAAGTTTTTGGCACAAATGGAATAGAGACATGAAGTTTAATTAGATCTAAGCTTCCAAATAAATGATTTCACATTTGAAAAGCTACGGAAAGACAAAATTCTTTACTATTTAACAAATAAAATGCTTAAAGCAAGTTTAAAAGTTGAGGCAGAAAAAAAAATTGATTTAAAAATGGCAAAAAAAATTTAAAATCTCTTGGTTTCCTTTACAGTTTTTTTTTTTTTTGCCTTTTATTTTTTTTCAAAATGCATTTTACAGTAGAAATGCAGACCACTTTGGATAGCTATGGCTCAATACTGCTGGATGCCCTCCTCCTAAGACATCATCTTCTTACATTCTACTGAACAGAAAACCATCCCTTCTACTGGCATGAACTTCTGCCCAATGAGGCATTTGCTGCAGCAGGAGCACAGAAAGCACTCTGTGGATGCATGCCAGCTGAAATTGTTATACGTCACCCGCTGCACTTCTGGGTCGATGGCATTGTGGCATCCTTGACACACCTATTAAGAAATAAGAGAAGAGGATAAGAGATCAAGCTGTAATGGTAACATTTTCATCTTAGGACAAACTGAACACATTTCTTTAGATAATAAATTAAAACTTAGAATGACAACCTCAGAAATACATGATGTGGGGTGGCCTTCTAGCTAACCTTTTTGGCCAACTGTTAATGGAGGTCAGTATGTTGAGCAGCCTGAGAAATAACAGATGAAGGCCAACCAGGTGATTTGATGCATGTAAGAAAACTTCATGGCATTCAAGACAGAAAAGTCTTGATGGCAAGTTCCAAAGCTGTTTGCTTAGTTTTGATATATTTTATTAGATTGCACATTTGTAATGACACAGTTTATGAGATGATTTTTCCTTGTTCATTAAAGGTTTGAAGTGTTAATTTTACCTGTCTTACCTATGACATGAGATTATTAACACCACTAATTTCTAGACAGTAGTAAATTAAAATCATGTTCAAAGTAATTAAGGACTCAATTAAAAATACTGACAGTGTTTGAGAATAATGAATTTGTACTAAAAATATAATGTAGTTAATTGGCTTCTAATTCTGTCATAAGATCAGTCATAATTTATGTGTAATCTAATATTGTACAACATTCTTACAATCCCTGTGCCATTCAGTATGTGTTATGGATGAATATATATATGACATATAAACACATATACACATACACAAACATACATACATTTACACCACAAAATTTTCTTATTCAAACATGTATATGAGGAAAGTGAATAACCTATGTTATAACAGAAAACCAGTTTGGACCTCTAAAACACTGGATAGTCATGCCTTCTTGTGTATACAGGTTCTGAATAAATATGACTATCTTAGAGTTTTTAAATATTTCCTGACAAGTGAAGAAGCTAACAAGACTGTCTGGTATTAATAGTGACTAATCTTAAGCACTCGTGGTCTCTTAATGTGATTGTCAGGAATTCTAAGGGATAAGGGGCAGGAGCAGGTGGGTGGAGGTCATTTAGCTTGAGCCTTCTTACTTTAAAAGACTTCAAAATATGGCTGCTACTCACTGGGTAATTGGTTTAGGCAGTGAAGTGAGGCCTGGTTATATATGTCCATTTGAGACCTGCGTATTTTTTTAGTTACATTGCTTCTGATTGCAGAGATTACAGCTCTGTAATCTATAAATTAGGTCAACCCCATCTTCCCTGAGATACAAGGAAAATACTTTCTTTGTATAATCAATACAGTATTCCTGAATACAACAAAAATGAATGTCACAATTACAAGCACATTTCTATTGTGCAGCTGCACCATGCAAGCAATTGCTTTTTGTATATATTTATTTTTATAGCTTTATAATTCATTTAGAATGTTATTTTATTGTTTTCTACATTACGTATTAATCTTTCCATTTTAAAATTTATGATCAACATATAATTATACATATTTATGGGTGTACTATGTGATGTTTCAATACATGTATACATAGTGTAATGATCAAAACAGGGTAATTAGGATATTCCTCTCAAACATGATTTCCTTGTGATAAGAACATTCAATCTTTTAATATTTCTTGTTTGTATAAGAAGTATTTTAAATGTGTTTTTGTAAAATACTGTGTGTTTTATTCCTTTGCTTTTAGACCATGATCTATCTTCTTTTTCTCAGACTGTAATAGTATTTGTGGACCTTTTTATAATTGCCCAAAATACATATTTTCAGTTGCAATTTACAAAAAAGAGATAACAAATGTTTGATTACACATGAAATTAAGAAGATTCTTTAGGTAAAAAAGTAATTAGTACACATAAATGTTATAGAGAATTAAGGTTTGTGGTTTCATAAAATTTCATTTTACTAATAATTTGATTACCATTCATTCAAATTCTGGCATGTAATCACAGGTCAAATCTACTGATCCCTAATTCTTAAAAATCTAAAATTGGCCCAGGCTGTGCCAAGGGCCTGGGGACTGCAGAACCCTTCAAGCAGGTGATGTGCTTCACCACTTCCTGCCTGCCGTTTGATTTTCCTGTGTTCCTAAACCTTTACTATTTCAAAGAATTATTATTTCCTTTAATCCCTCTGTTTTTCTTTGTATATAAGAACGTAAAAGAGCTAATTATACCTGTTGTAATGACCTCCCTGGCAGGAAAGGATATTCTGGGAAATCTGATGGATGTGAATTCTGGGAGTAACCATGGAGCTCCAGCGACCACACAGAGACAAAGTAGGTGTACTTCCCATTTTTTTCCTTCCAGGTAATTTATTATTTTTTTTCAGAAAGGTTGTTTGGAGTTGAACACTTGATTTCAGGTCTAAAAACAATTTGTTTTTTTTTTTTTCTTTATCTTTTTTAAGATTAAAAAATCTAAGTAGTTCAATGCCCTGAACTAAATAATCTTCTCCAAATTTTATATAATGCAGCATGCTGCGTGGGTAGCTCTCTGCTGGTAGCTGGAATTTGTTCAGACAATGGATAGGTATGCTCATTTTAATATTAAGCAAAGGCCATTGATATAACCTATTGAGAAAATAAACCTAAAAGAAATGATGCTATGTTATAAAATGAAATAATTTGAAAATTCTTTTAATTAAAAAAATCATATCTCTGGGTATTCCCTGTCATTGATTAGAAACAATGTAATACAGAAAAGCTTGCAACAGCTTTTTTTTAAAAAAAAAAAAAAAAAAAAAAGCAGTTTCACCTGTTTCAGTTTATTTTTATTGAGCACCTACTATGTTGTCCTTGTGTTGGGAACAGAACAGAAAAGGTAGATTAAAAAAAAAAAATCACAGCCCTGATAAGAGTTACATTCTAGTCCTTCAGACTAAGGTCAGACAGCAGACAAAAAACGTATACATTATAATACCCTTAGTCTGTAGAAAAACTGTTGGAATAATATTCGTTGAAGCAGTTTTTAGTTAAATAACGTGTCCGGCTACATGATGATTTAACATCTTGTTCCCCAGGTAAAAGGAAGGCCCATGGTAGCCCCAAAGCAAATGAGAAATATTAAGAACACAAGTTAGTCACTCAAACATTTTCTAAGTGCAGACACCGAAGATAAAGAAATAATAAGTCACACTCTGCCCTCCAGCTGCTTACAGTCTAGTGAAGGAGACAGATGAATGAAATTCTCTCACACACACACCATTGGGAACACAGAGAGCCTAGAGACAAAGGTGGAGTTTGGGTATAGGGAATCAGGAAAGATGTTCTGAAAAAAAGTTAAACCTAAACTGAGTCTAAAGCAATAAATGTGCAGGCACAGTCGGGTAAAACAGGGAAAAGTAGGGTGTATTAGAAAAACTATTAAGAGTGAGCAAAAGACAAAGAATAGTGTGTGAATTAGAAACTGCTGGTTAACATGTGGAAATGTATGATTTGGGCTGGACAAATCGTAGATGTGACAGGATAGGCACAAAGGGGCCAGATCTATTAAAAGCTTAGTAATTTGCATTTTAGGAAGATCATTTTCTATCATTATGGTGGGTAGCTTTTGAGCAAGATGAATGAAAATGGAGGAATGAAATTTGAGGCCACTGCAATAGTCAAAATGACAAAAAATAAAGGTCTGAAGTCGAATGGTTGTAATTATGAGAATGTGAAATACATTGATGAGGCACAATTGATAGAAAATGAATAACTGTATCTAGAAAGGCTGAAAATTGGCAGAGACATCAAAACGTTATCCTGTCTTCACAGTACCACATTCTTAGAACCAGATAAACTATATGTAATTTTATTCCTTAGCCAGGAGTCTCTTTCACTGAACAGCTCAATGGATCATTAACTAGTATCTGTTTTGCTACATATAAAGAAGTAAAAGTATATTTGAATACTCTTGGGGCTTACACACTTTACCATCTATGGTCAGCCTTTTACCCTTTATCTACATTACTATCACTTGGCCATTATGCAATAGCAGTTCTGCATAAGTGGAGTAAATGCAAGAAAAAAATATACTCTCACAAGGGAATGTCTGGCCCACACAAAAATCTAAATATGCAGGTTAAAATTTGTTATGCCAAATCAATTCAATAAGGGTTTAAGAAATAAGCATCTTACAATCTCCAGGTAGCAAAAACAAAAGTCCAGTGGGTGGGCCAGTAACATGAACAGAAACTATCAATCATATTCCAATAGAGCTAAAGAGTATCGATAACCCCTAGACACCTTTATTGAAATGGAATTTGATCACTAACTATGAGAATAAAACAATCACATTCCCATTAAGAATTTTTTTAAGTGAGGATTTTATTATTAAGCAGTACCTATAATTGGTACTGTAAACTCCACAGGTAGAAATCTTGAGGTGGCTCATAGTATATGTACTGGTTTTGAATTGCCTTGATTTTAACACCCTGTGGTAGGAATCATTTGCTTTCTACTTAGGAGGAGTGCTTTCTGTTTCCCATCTGTAAGAGGATTTAAGAAAAGCATAAACTCAAGTCCTAAAGCAAGCTGAGGCAACCATATCCTTAGAACACCTCTCACCACAGCGTGATTCTTCACATAGCAGGGCTTGCACACGGGCTTGTCATTGACCATCACGTATATTTCCCCAGCTAGGATGCTGTCACAGTCAAAGCAGCAGAAGTGTTTCAGGTGCCAATTCTGGTTTTCTGCCTGGGTATACTCATTGCTGAATATCAGCTAGGAAGAAAATTAAAGATGGTTTTTTAAAAACATAATAAGAGATATAGGTCAATAACAACATACTTTCTCAGGGTCTGAAGTTTGATAACCTAAAGCTTGAACTTACGCTATCACTTAGTTTCATCTAATCAATCTTTTACATTTATAGTCTTTCATTTGTCAACCCCATTAACACAGACACTCAGAATGAATGATATCAAAAGTTTCTTTTTTAAAACTTCTTTTGATGTAAACAGATCAATTGCTGTTTGGTTACTTCTTGTTGCCTTCTAGGTAAAGGGACTATATGAGGGTCTAACAGGGCACCAGCAGGCAGGTAGTCCCATAGAACATACCTCGTCACAGCCAGCACATCGGGGTTTCTCGCTGTCACAGTAATGTCTGCCACAGTATAGCTTCTCATTCTTCCAGAAATAAATCATGTCAACCAGGAGTTCCTGGCAGACGCTGCAGACAAAACAGGCTGGGTGCCACAGTTTATCGTAGCCGGCCCTTTCGGCATAGATGGCAGGGTCGCCTTCCTTCATACTCAGTTTGCAACAATAGCAGGACTGAAAGGGAAGCCATCCAGAACAAGCTCGTCATTAGAAGACTGCCATTTCTTATCATTGGCTACAGTAGAAATTCAGAGAAACAACTTTGAAGAGATATAATTTCTCCTGAAGTTGCAAATTTGTTGATGTAGACAATAAAGTATTAATTCTTCTGTGAAACAGAATCTCAGCTTTCGCCAGACTGTTCAAATCTATTCATTCACCCTATGTGTAATAGGATATTGTTTCCTAAATTAAAAGTCGCTTATGGAAAAAGGATAATAGTAATTTTCAGCTCAATTTTAAGTAGATTCTCTAAAAAGATTACCTTGGAGCTTATTAGTGCTCTTTTTTTGCAACTCAGCTTTACTGGTGCTAACTGGAGCTATAAGGGATATATTACAGCGGGTTTAGTTCTTACGTCTCTGTGTCATAATTCCTCCTACCTTCAAGTCATTAGCAAAATACTTCAATTTTTCCCTTTAGAAGAGACTTAAAAAAAAGCTTCACTATACAGCCACATAAATTTAAGTTTGAATTTTAGGCATATTCTCACAAGCAAAACTGAAGTAACCTAAGCATATATTCTTATTTATAGGTAGAGATAAGCAATTAACTCCAAGGTTATGTTTAGAAACAGACTCTAGAATAATATGCAATCTTTGATCAGCATGCCAATACCAACTACTATCTGTACATAAAACTCACAATTGGCCAGTGCAGTGGCTCACTCCTGTAATACCAACACTTTGGGAGGCTGAGGTGGGCAGAACACAAGGTCAGGAGATCGAGACCATCCTGGCTCCTGGCTAACATGGTGAAACCCCATCTCTATTAAAAACATAAAAAATTCCCTGCATGGTGGCACACACCTATAGTCCCAGCTACTTGGGAGGCTGAGGCAGGAGAATACTTGAACCCGGAAGCAGAGGCTGCAGTGAGGCAAGATCACACCACTGCACTCTAGCCTGCGTGACAGAGTGAGACTCCATCTCAAAACAGAAACAAAACTCTCACAATTATCCTTGACAATAGATACACAGAAAATTCGGATTTAGAAGTTTCAAACATGATGACCCTCTATGGGAAGTCTAAACTGAATCTTAATTCCATTTATTTCTCACACCTATTCCCTTTTGGAAACTCAGAGGAATGGTCCCCAGAAAAGTTCAAAGAAAGGGAAAAAAAAAAAAACCCTGTAAAATATACAAATCGGGCCAACAGTGTGACCACTCTACTTACATATTGAGTACTTTTGTGCTCAGCAGATTTGTCCTCCATGGCCCCTGCTGCTGGTGGGGTGCTTCTATCCCCTCCAGGGATGTACATTTGTTTGGGGCCTTGGGCATCCATCTCACAGGGAAGTTTGACATCTCCTACTCCCAGAGCCTCACTCTTATATTTCTTCACAAACTGCTCCATCTCCTTCACCTCTCTGGGAGACAACTCATGGCACTTTGAAGGGTCCTGATCATGTGCAGGGAGCTGCTTTGCCAGCTGCTTCTTCCGGTACTGTGCCCCCTCTGAGCCCGCCACTGGCTGCTTTTCCTTAGGTAGCATCTGCATGTACTGCCTGGCCTGAACCACAAGGAGGCCAATGTTAACTGGGAGAAGGATTGGCCATTAGGCAGTATGACATGTTATAACACACATCAGAAGCAAGTTACTTAAGAAAGAAGTGGGTTCCATCCAATAACAGCAACTCAGCCTCACAGCATATTCACAAGTTAAAGCTCAAAAATGGTATACTGAATAGATTTAGTTGGGCAAAAAGTGACACTATTTCTCCATGAAATTATACATTTTTTCAGTTTGTAAGATCTGGGTTACTACTGTTTACTTAAGGTAAATAAACAAATGTACAATTGAAAAAGAACACAAACTTTTAGGCAGACATGTTTGGAATGGTCTATAGGACCAGGAGCATTTTTATCACATAAAAAATGATACCACAAAATTCACTTTAATGATTTAACTAACTTTAAAAGATTTGCAAATGTTTCATCTAGTTGTTATAAAACTGAGATCTTTTTGGTCTAATACAGTATTAATAAAGGAAATAAAAAAAATAAAAATAGATAAAGTTGAATATTTTTTTCAGGTCTACACGGACAAAAATTCTTACCATCTTAAGAGAAATCCTCTCAAGAGTAAGCTAGAAGAATTACTAGATTGATATAAGCCATGTGATTTACATCTAATTATTAAGAATGTTAGACTACTCCCTCAAAAAGGTAAACATAGCTAGGGAGTTGGAAAAAAATTTATAAAGTATCCTAGTCTTATATTCAAAAGACTAGAATGGGAATCAGAAGTCAAAGTAATGAGAACCCCAGAAGAATAACAGATCTGGAATGTGTGGAGTTGATCAGGTCACCAAAGAAACTGCCCCAAATAAACAGTCCAGGAACTTCAATAAGGGAACTCTCTGTCCCGATATTATTTACCAATGCCTGATTGTGGACAGGAGGAGCCCACTCATAGGTAACTGTATTGATGGAGACATTCTTCTTGGCAGCAACTGGATTGGTCAATATCATAACATTGCGTTTATACATGGGAATTCCATCTGACTTTAGTTTTGCAATCAGGGTTGTATACTTGGTGTCTTCAAAAAGTTTTCCCACTTTTCGATCCTCTTCATTGCTCAAGAGGACATCATGCTCTTCTTGGCCACATTTGCAGTTACGACATATTTTTCTATGATTTTGAAAATAAGTAGAAAATGATTATACCTAATTGATATTTATGGTGATACATTTATAGTTCATAAAATAAAGCATATTCTATATCGTGGTATGCAAACGCAAGTCCTTTTTTAGGAGGGAGAATAATTATCTATAAATTTAAGCAAGAAGGAAACAAAAACACAACTTTGCTTGATAAGGCTTTTAAAAGTTAGGTTGTAAAAACTGACAAGTGGGACCCAATTAAACTAAAAAGCTTCTGCGAAGTAAAGGAAACTGGCAACAGGGCAAACAGACAACCTACAGAATGGAAGAAAATATTTACAAACCCTGCATCCAACAAAGGTCTAATATTTAGAATCGATAAGGAACAATTCAACAAGCAAAAAAATAAAACATTAAAAATGGGCAAAGGATATGAATAGACACTTCTCAAAAGAAGACGTACATATGGCCAACAAATATATGAAAACATGCTCAATATCACAAATCATTAAGGAATGCAAATCAAAACCATTATGAGATGCCATCTCCTATCAGTCAGAATAGCTATTACTAAAAAGTCAAAAAATAACAGATGTTGCAGAGAAAAGGGAATGCTTATACACTGTTGATGAGGATGTAAATTAGTTTAGCCACTGTGGAAAGCAGTTTGGAGATTTCTCAAAGAACTTAGCACTCAACCCATTCAACCCAGGAACCCCAGAGGAAAATGCATTATTCTACCAAAAAGACAGTGCCCTCCTATGTTTATCACAGTACTATTCACAAAAGATGTGGTGGAATCATCCTAGACGGACATCAATGGTAGACTGGATAAAGAAACTCTGATACATATTTGCCATGGAATACTATGCAGACATACAAAAGAATGAAATCATGTCCTTTGAAACAAAATGGATGCAGCTGGAAGCCATTATCTTAAGGGAATTAATACAGGAACAGAAAACCAAATACCACATATTCTCACTTGTAGGTGGGAGCTAAATATTGAGTATACATGGACACAAAGATGGGAATGATAGACACTTGGGATTATTAGAGTGAGAAAGATGAGAGGGAGCAAGGTTTGAAAAGCTAACTATCAGGTACTATGGTCACTACCTAGGTGATGGAATCATTTGTACCCCAAACCTCAGTAACATGCAATTTCCCCATGTAAAAAAAACCTGCACTGCACATGTACATCTGAACCTAAAATGGAAGTTGAAAGAAAAAGGAAAGCAACAGAATTATCAGCCTACAGAGTCACTAATAATGTGTTTTTGGAAATTACTAATTTTGTGATTTAGATGGTACCATAAGGTTTCAACTTAATTTTCAAAGTAACTATTTTAACAAATTCAGTGTGTTTTGTAAACTAAACATGCATCTGCATTTCTGATATGATCATGAGAAGCAATTATTCATTTGATTATCAAACCTAACCAAGATTGTTTCAATTATTACACTGAAAGAATTGTTGATGGCCCCAATAATAGACATCTTCAATTGTACCATTAAAAAAAAAAAAAAAAGACTGATTTAAAAGTGTACACTTAAAGGGACATGTCTGAGTGTAACCCCATCTGATATTCCTTATGCTGTCACCAAAAAGCAATTAAATAAAATAGAGAAAAGGAAATAAACCCACAAAAATTATATGCAAGTTTTCTTAGAGAAGAGGCTTCATATTTTATTGCATGTTAACATTTTATAGCCATTATCCAAGGGTTTTTGTTTGTTTAGTGAGAGATAGGGAAACTTTTCCCATCAAAGACTATGATCCTAGATTTAGGTTTACAGCCTTTCTCATTTTTTCTCAAATTATTTTGCTGTCCATTTTCTTCCCTTTGTTTTTTCTTTCTCTTTCCTTCTCTTATTTCTTCAAACACTTACTGCCACCTGCCATGTTCTCTCTGCCATCATGGTGTTTCTTCTAGTTTAAGGACAACATCGTCCTCTTCACTCTGGTCTGGCACACAGACATTCATTTATTTATGCAACATGCATGAGTGCCCATGTGCCAATCAATGTATTTAACACTAGGACATAGAGCTAAAAAAAAAAAAAAATGGGCCTAGTCTCTTACTTCTAGAACTTACAGTCTGGTGGGAAACAGACATTAAACAATCACATACACACGCGTGCGTACACAAACACACACAATTTCATTTGTGATAGGAAAGTAGGGTAGAGCGTGCCTTGAAAGGGTGTAATTTTGATTTCAAACTAGTGAAGAAAGGACTCCATAAGAAGGTGACGTTTAGGTTGAGATCTGGACAATGTATAAAACATAGGTGTAAACTGTGTATGTGGGTTTCATTATCTGGGAAGGAGAAAGGAAGGGAAAGAAAAATCTCTAGTTAGTATCTGGGTATAAAGAGAAGTACCTACAGTGGTCCTGAATTAGAAAATAAATTGTCCCCTTAGGTCTCATAACCAGGGCAGGTTGGTATGACAGTAGTGAGATGAGTAAATGGGACAGTGACAAGGCTGGAGAGGTAGGGAGGCAGGAAGTCATGCAGGGACTCATAGAACACATTAGGAAATTTGGCCTTCATCATAAGGGCAATCAGGAGCCAGCAAAGGATTTTTGGTAATGGAATAACATGATCATATCTGTAATTTTAAATATTACAGTATCTGCCATGTGGTAAATGGATTAGAGGCAAAACAGAACTGGAAACAGGGAGACAGGTTAACATGTTAATTATGCATCCAGTTTACAATGGCATGGTTCTAAATCAGGATACTGCCACTACTTCACAAATGAAATTTACATCTTGGAGGGTTATTGTTGTGGTCCAGGTGAAATATGTTATGGCTTGGATCAGAGTATCCAACAGTGGAGATGAAAAGAAAGGAGGAAATTTGAGGTCTCCTTGGACAAAAACGGACTTTGTGGTGTATTTGGATATAGTGACGGTAAAGGGAAGGCTCAGTGATACCATTTGGCTGTGACCTCACACAAATATCATCTTGAATTGTAGTTTCCATAATCCCCATGTGTCATGGGAGGGATGTGGTAGGAGATAACTGAATCGTGAGGGCTGTTACCCTCATGCTGTTCTCATGATAGTGAGTTCTCACGATATCTCATAGTTTTATAAGCGAATTTTTTCCCCTTTTGCTCAGCACTTCTCCTTGCTGCCACAATGTGAACAGCATGTTTGCTTCCCCTTCTGCCATGTTTGTAAGTTTCCTGAGGCCTCCCCAGCCATGCTGAATTGTCAGTCAATTAAATCTCTTTCTTTATAAATTATCCAGTCTCAGATATGTCTTTATTAGCACTGTGAGAATGGACTAATAAATACAATAAATTGGTACTGCAAAGAGTGGGGATACCTGAAAATGTGGAAGCGACTTTGGAACTGGGTAACAGGCAGAGATTGAAACATTCTGGAGGGCTAAGACGACAGGTCCATGTGGGAAAGTTTGGAACTTCCTAGAGACTTTTTGAATGGCTTTTACCAAAATACTGACAGTGATATGTGTAAGGTCTTTTAGACTGACAGCATCATGGATGCCATGGTGCCCCCTCCCCTCACCCCCCATCATGACCTGCATGTACACCTCTGGATGGCCTCCCGGAATTAGAAAATCTGAAGTAACTGGAAGACTATGAAAAAAGGAAGGATGATCAACCCCTGAGGCACCTAACTTGAGACATTCTTCTATTGTTCCATATTCCAGCCTCATTTGACAAGGCAATTGGACTTTGTAATCGACCTTGGTCAACCTGTGACTCCAGACCCTATGACCCCCTCCCAGTTTCCAAAATATGCCCTATACTATAACTTCTGTAACTTTCCACTGCCAACCCCAAACCTATAAAACCAACTCCTATCCCACCACCCTCCTCTGACTCTCTTTTTGGACTCAGCCTGCCTGCATTTGGTGAATAAACAGCCATGTTGCTCACACAAAGCCTGTTTGGGGGTCTCTTCAGTCAGAGTGCATATTTTAACATTTGGTGCTAGAAAACCAGGACCAGGGTATTCCTCTGGGGAGACCAGCCCCTGTCCTCACTCCCCCTCTAGGAAAAGACTCACCTTTTGAGACCTCAACACAATAGACCAGCAGCTCACACTTAGCATGCTCAAAAGCTCTCTCCCCACCTTCAGATTGAGTAGGCAGACTCTCTCTTCCTCTTTCTCTCTCTTTTCCTTCAGAGAAGAGGAGACAAGTCTCTCCCTCTTTCTCTCTTTTCTTTTAAATCTTTCTCCTTCCAGTACAGACAAAGACGACACTCTGTATCCATGTAGAGACAGAAGAGACAAGTCTCTCCCTCTCGCTCAAAGACTCAGGCATCAGTCACGGACTCAGGAAGACAGTCTTCCCTTCGTGTCTGGTCAACAGCAGGGATGCCTGCCTTGATCATTCACTCATGTTACAGCCAGGAATCATCAGGGATGCCTACTGAAAACCCTGGTAGCTGCTCGCTCCTTCTAGTCTCTACTCCTTTCCTTAAAACTTATCTCCTTATTCCACCCTCTATTCTCAGTCTTCACCTCTAGTCTGAATCCCAAAAACCTAAAACCTCTTCAACTGTCACCTAATATGAAACCTAAACATCTTTTTTTTTTTTTTCCTGTGACATGGCCTGGCCCCAATATAAATTAGACAATGGTTCTAAATGGCCAGAAAATGGCACTTTCGATTTTTCTATTCTGTTAGACCTAAACAATTTTTCTCAACAAATGGGCAAATGGTCTAAGGTACCTGACATCCAGGCATTTTTTTTTAACACTCCATTCCCTCCCTAATCTCTGCTCTCAATGCAACCTTTCCCAAATTTTTCTTCTATCCCTTCCATCTGCCCCTCCTGCCTCTGCCGGTGACCCAGAATCCTCCTTGTCCACTGACCCTTCCAACCTTTCTCCTCCTTGCCTGTCTGAACCAGACCCTAATCCAGGCCCTAACCTCCCCCTGCCCCCCCCCCTCAAATCCACCTCCTTATGCCCCTTCTGTCACCTCCCCACCTCATACTTAGCCGGGTTTACAGTTTAGATCTGTGGCTAACTCCTCAGC